GCTATCTTTTTGTAGGAATTTAAATTGTAAAACAACTCATTGTCGACAGCTAGAAAACAAACAGACTTTGAGAATGGTTATTAAACATGATGTCTAAGGGGAGGCTGGGTGGTTAGTACTGTCACCTCACAGCAAAAAGGTTCGAGTCCCAGCTGGATCAGTTGGCACTTCTGTGTGGAGTTTGCATGTTTTCCATGTGTTGGTGTGGTTTTCCTCCGGGTGCTCCAGTTTCCCCCACAGCCCAAAGACATGCGCTATAGATGAATTGAATAAGCTAAATAGAGGACTTCTGGTTATGGAGTGGTAGTAGAAAGATGCAAGATAACGACACTCCCATAATTTTGAAAATGAATCCTTTAAACTCACTTAAATCTTTGATACATTCTTGGTTATTGAACATGAAGGTTTAACAAATATGAAGGTTTAACAAAGTAAGAAGAACAGAACATAAGAAAAGGTGTATAACGAGGCTCAAGAAATGTCACATGATTCTGATAATGGGATAGTCTCTAAGAAAAAGAGACTAGATGACGACAGTGAACCCACAAAAATGACTAAGATGTTGCAAATAAAATTGACAGCGTTATGTCAGCAATCAAAGAAAGGAATGCATCAAGAAGGCAGAGGAGCGCATTTCTGGAGCGGAAGATGAAATCGTTCAACTTCCATCGAATCACAAGTTAATAAATTGATGGACAAGGTTGATGACATGGGAAAACAGAAACAGACAGAACAACCTGAAGCTAGTAGGTTTGCTGGAACGGGAAGAGAAAGGCAACGCGTGTGCGTTTTTAGAGGCCTGGATTCCAAAAATATTGGAAATGAAATATTGGAATAAAAAATAATAATTGAATAAAATAATAATTTAAATTTAATTTAATCAGAACAAAATTAAACAAGCTGAATTTAATAAAAAAATGTAATTAAAAATAATTAAATAAACTATATTAAATTTACAAAGGTATTTAAAAAAATTAAATACAATAAAACATAATAAAATTAAAATAAATAACATTTATAAAAAATGTATTAAATTAAAAATAAAATAAAATAAAAACATATTCAAATAAAATTAAAAAGTAATTAAATTAAAACTTATTTAAAAATATATTAAATATAAATATAAATGCATAATCAAATTAAATAAAATGTAAAACATTTAATTAAATAAAAAATTAAATACTATAAAAAAGCATAGTAGGTTAGCTGAAACGGTAAAAGGCGACATGTGTTTTTTTTAAAAGCCTGGATTCCAAAAATATTGGAAATAACGTTTTTTATAAAGCGTGCACAGAGTCGCCCACAACGAAACATGGAGGTTCTGAAAACAAGACGGATTAGGCCACCAAGTACACTAATAATAAAGTTCCTAAACTTTAAACTGAAGTATTTTAAAGTAATTTCCCATACAACATATAGTAAATTCCATGTTTATTGTAGTGTTTTGTACCTTACTATAGTAAATACACTATAGACCATTTCAATGATGTGATATCTTGTTTTGCTAGTTGTACTACACGTGTTATAGTAAACAAAAGTAATCACTAACTACCTTAATTAACTACTAAGGAAATGTATGAGTATTTAGAGTATGCACACACACACACACACACACACACACACACACACACACACACACTCGCACACAGACATGCCCGCACACACACACACACACACATTTCAGGAACTGAATTGGAATTTTCTGAATGATCTCCCATCCTGAAGAGAAGGGGGTCCCAAATTCTTTTGTTTTTTTTCCCTTGTCACCTGAAATGAACTTAATCAGAATAGGCAGAAGGACAGAGCCAGCAAGAATCGTGCATGTGTGTGTACGTATGCATGTGTGTATGTGTGTAATTGTGAGTGTATGGCAAAGGAGAGGGAGGGAGCAGTGTGTTAATCGTCTTATATAACCAAAAAGCAGAGAGGCCAGAGAGAGAGACACACACACATACACACACACACACACACACACACACACACACACACACACACACACACACACACACACACACACACACACACACACAAAGAGAGAGGCAGCTGAGCTTCTGGTGCTAAAACACTGTCCAAACGTTTTAGCATGTGCAGAAAATAAACCTCAGGCTATGCCACATAAATGCTGCAGAGATTTCTATAATAGTTTGGTCTTTTGACAGGTCGCATATATTTCTGTTGGTGTGCATGTGTGTTTGTGTGATTGTGTGTTTTGAGTAGGAATGGGTCATGATGGTAAGCTAAATGACTAAATGATTATTATAACACTTGCCCACTAAAAATACAGAAACAAATACTTAAAATATTGAAATACAAATGAAATCAACAAGTTTTGCTCCTCATTTGTGTGTGCGTGCGTGCTTGTGTGTATGTTGCAGTAATGCCAATAGCTACGTTTAGTCATCATATTTCAAAATAAATCAGCTTCTGTGTGCTTAGATTTATTACAAATTTTTTGACAACTTACATTTTTGTAAGGATTACAAAAATAAAATAAAATAAAACATAATCAATTAAATAAAATTAAATTTCTAAAAATGTAATTAAAATTAATATTTTTAATCAAATATAAGTAAAAATAAAATCATAATAAAATAAAATAAAATGTAAAAATTAAATAAATAAAAAATTAAATAAAAAAACATAACAAAAGTACATTTTATTGAAATAAAAATATATTAATAATAAATTAAATTAAATTGATAAACATTGTATAAAAATGTAATAAACAAAAAATTAAATAAAAACATAATAAAATAAAAATGTAATTAAATTAAAATGTATAACATTTTTTAAATTAAAATAAATAATAAATACAAAATACAATTAAATAAAATTAAAAACATAATTAAATTAAACATAAAACACAATAAAAACAATAAAATAATAAATTATTTAATTGAAATTAACATTAAAAATTACAATAAATTTAAATAGAATTAAGTAAAAATGCAATTAAATTAAAAATTAAAAAAATAAACAAGAAAAAAATAAGACAAAATTGTAATTAAATTAAAATTAATAAAGACAATTTTATCAAATAAAATTTATTTAAAACAATAAAATTTTATTAAAAATAAAATATAATAATGAAATAAAATAAATTGTAAATAAATTTTAAATTAATAAAAAATAATAAAATATAATTAAATTAAATTAAAACAAAATAAAATTAAATCATAATAAAACTAAACAGAATTAAATTAATTTAAAAAAGCAATTACATTAAAAATAAATTAAAAATTTATTTATTTTAATTAAATAAAGAAACCTAAATTAAATGTAATTTTTTTATTAAATTAAAACAAAAATAAAATAAAACACATCAAATAAAATTTTATAAAAATTTTAAATAATAAAAAGTAAATATAACAAAATGTAAATAAAATAAAATCATAATAAACTAAACAAAATTTAATTAATTAATAATATTCTTAATTTAATAATTTTTTTATTCAAAACATAATAAAATAAATTGTAATTCAATTAAAATTGATTAACAAAGCTTAATTTAATTAATTTGTTTAATTATTAAATTAAAAATAAAATACAATTAAAAATAATAAAATCAAAATATAATGAAATAAGGTTTTATTAAAAATAAAAACATGCTACTTAACCAATCTCACATATAAAGAGTATTTTCCATATACAGCATCACATAAAACATTACAGTCTTATTCAACAAGGTGCACATGAAACAAGTCAAAAACAAGCGTCATGTGTGTAAAATTAGGTCGGTAGTACATGTACACTTTTAAAGATTTCTAAATACACTGTGTATGTTAAACATTCTTGTTGACCAGATATAGAACCAGCAGATAATAGTTTATAGATGAAGGGCACATATAAAGAGAGGGGCAAATCATATAAACAATATAAAGAATATATAACAAACTACATAAAAAATACTGTCTTGTGCTTTTGAGTATGCAAGCACACACACACACACAAATGCAGTAGCATAGACACAAATCACTGTGGAAAGGACTGATTCACAAGGGCCCCATCTACTCATAGATGTCATTTTCACGGCTTACTGAATTTCAATAAGGCTCTCTGTTAGGCCTGGTTTGCAAAACAATTTGAAAACACAATCATGCAGCAAAAAAGGCAGACCTAAAAAAAAATGAAAGACTATAATCCCTAATTTCCTCTCTTCGATTATCTCTGCAGGGATTCAAGTGTTAAAAGGTTACACTGCCAGCAAGCAGTTACTCAAATCCCATCTGTACCAAAAAGGAAACGTTTCTTTTTTTGAAGGAAACATTACATGCAGGCTTACATTTCCAATATCAATTTGTCATGAAACAATAATAATACAAATAGAACATCCTATCTATTTTCTTCATGCATATTATAAATCTTACTGCTAGCAATTTCTTAGTCTGCATGTTCTCTTATTAATATAATGCTGACTTTTCATGAAAAAAATGCAAATATCTGTTCAGTGACGCATCATTTAATCATACAATGCATTGATTTATGATAATTAATATGTTAATAATATGTTATAATATATATATATATATATATATATATATATATATATATATTTTTTTTTTTTTTTTTTTATAAAATACACATTTAAATTTAATCATTTCATAAATTTAATCATAAAAATTCTCTCATCATCCATGTTATTTTACATTTGATTATGAAATATCTTTACCTTAAAACTGTTTCGGAGGAGCTCATAATATTTATCATTGTTCTATTGTTTTAATCAATTAATTTATTGAATTGTTTATAAATGTTTTCAAATAATTTTACATGTTTTATGCAGATGCACTGCCCTAAAAAAACTGTCAAAATCAATCAATATAAAATGATGAATTCTTTCCAAACAGTGAAATCTTGTGAAATTATATTTATATCGCAATATATACTGCAGAAAAACTAAATATTGTAATGTAAGTTCTTTTCATGCAGCCCTACAAATATTGTTCCTGCCCTCATAAACAAAATAAAATAATCAAATAAGTAAATTAATCATTTCTCACCACTGGGTTGCAGCTGGAATGGCATCCACTGTGTAAAACATATGCTGGAGTAGTTGGCGGTTTATTCCTTTGTGGCGACCCCTAAAAAAATAAGGAACTAGGCTGAATAAAAATGAACACATGATAGATAGATAAATAAAAAAAATAATTAAAAATAATAATAAAATTAAATAAAAAATAACCAAAATAAGTAAATAAATGAATGAATGAATAAATAGCTGTAGTGTCAGTTATATACACTACCTGACGAAAGTCTTGTCGCCTATCCAAGCTTAAGTAACAACAAAAAAGTAACTTGACTTCTAGTTGGTCATTTGGTATCAAAAGTAGCATATATGATCTAGAATGGCAAAGAAAGCGTTCTTGCAGGACTCCCAGAGTTCATCAAGATTCTTTGGATTCATCTTCAAAGCCTCCTCCTTCATCTTACCTAAGACATGCTCAATTATGTTCATGTCTGGTGACTGGGCAGGCCAATCCTTGAGCACCCTGACCTTCTTTGTTTTGCTTTGATGTGGAGACTGAAGTATGAAAAGGTGCGCTTTCCTGCTAAAGTATTTGCCCTCTCCTCTAGTTTGTAATGTAATGGGCAGCACAAATGTCTTGATACCTCAGGCTGTTGATGTTGCCATCCACTCTGCAGATCTCTTGCACACCCCCATACTGAATGCAACCCCAAACCATGATTTTTCCTTCACCAAACTTGACAGATTTCTATGAGAATCTTGGGTTCTTGCTGGTTCCATTAGGTCTTCTGTAGTATTTGTGATGATTGGGATGCAGTTCAAGAGATGATTCATCAGAAAAATCGACCTTCTGCCACTTTTCCAAATGATCAACTAGAAGTCAAGTTATTATTTGTTGCTCTTACAGCTGGAATCGATGACAAGACTTTTGTCAGCTAGTGTATATACAATGTTGGTCATTAAAATTCACAACTAACCCATGTACAACCTACACGTACGTCAGAAAATTCTGATTAAATTTATAGCATAACAACATGATTTATGAAGGATCCTGTAACACTGAAGACTAAATAAATATATAAAAAACACTCAAAGATCAAACTGCTGTTTTCGATAGAAATCAAATTCCTCAGAAATTCTGATCTAATGCTTTTAGAGAGATAAAAATGACACCACATACTCGAATAGACGTGATGCAGTTTTACAGAAACTGAACTCATGAGATATAATGAAACTGCACGAGTCAGCAGTGATTCGTTCATACCACCAGCATTTGACAGACTTTGACAAATTTACCGACCTTTTACTGTGATAATAGGTGTACTATCAGAATCGCACAAAAAATCAGTCGGGCAATAAATAGACCCGAGTTTCTTTTCAATTAAAGATGTTTACTGAATTCTCAAGCATCATGACAATAAACTCCGGTCAAAAAACTGGGTTTCTCTGTCTTTCTCAGACATACTCAATAATGTTCATATCTGGTGAGTGGGCTGGCCAATCCTGCAGCACCTTGATCTTCTTTGCTTTCAGGATCTTTAATGTGGAGGCTACTGTTTTTGATAGAAATAAATTTCCTCAAAAAAATCTGATCTATCTCTTTTAGAGAGATAAAAATGACGTTCCATACTCAAATAGACGTGACAGTTTTACAGAAACCGTCCGAATTTCTGAGACAGGCGTGATAAAACTGCAGGAGTCAGCAGTGATTCATTTACACCACCAGCATTTGACAGACTTTGACATATTTACCGACCTTTTACTGCGACAATAGGTGTACTATCAGAATCTCAAATTATCAGTGGGGCAATAAATCGACTCGGTTTCTTTTTTAATTAAAGATGTCTACTGAAATCTAAAGCATCATAACAATAAACAACGGTCAAAAAACTGTGTTTCTCTGTCGTTCTCAGACATGCTCAATAATGTTTATATCTGGTGACTGGGCTGGCCAATCCTGGAGCACCTTGACCTTCTTTGCTTTCAGGATCTGTAATGTGGAGGCTGCTGTTTTTGGTCGATCTAAAATTCCGCAGGCAATTCTGGTCTATCACCTTTAAAGAGATAAAAACAACGCTACATACTCAAATAGGCGTGATGTAGTTTTGCAGAAACTGTCCAAATTTCTGAGACATAGTGAAACTGCAGGAGTCAGCAGTGATTCAGTTGCACTATCCGCGATTGACAGACTGATGAATTTCACTGAACTTTTGCTGTAACAACAGGATTAAAGCCCCAAATAGTCAACATATACAGTTGAAGTCAAAATGATTAGCCCTCCTGTGAATTTGTTTCCTGTTTCAAATATTTCCCAAATAATGTTTAGCGGAGCTAGGAATTTTTCACAGTATTTCCTATATTTTTTCCTCTGAAGAAAGTCCTTTGTTTTATTTCGGCTAGAATGAAAGCAGTTTTATCTTTTTAAACCATTTCATTATTACCCCCCTTAAGCGATATTTTATTTTAATTGGCTACAGAACAAACCATCATTGTACAATGATTTGCCTAATTACCCTAACTTCCCTAATTAACCTAGTTAAGCCTTTAAATCACACCTTAAGCTGAATATTTAGGGGGCTAATAATTTTGACTTTAACTGTATGTGCAAAAACATTAACTTCAACGTAAGGGAACTTCAACTTTCTTCAACTGTGACCGGTGGATCCATTTATGTATCAACAGTAGTCTGGGGGCATTACCTAGAAAAATATCAACACACAAGGGACTACGCTGACCTTTAAGTGACTTTCAGGTGCACCGAAAAAAGGGCCCACGGGACCTGATGGTAACAATCACCCAAAGGACACGATCCCACATACGCAAGTCCTGTCAAACTTTTACATGCTTGCACAAATAGGTCAACAAGGACCTTCAGGACTATCCGCTTTCTCTCTCACACACACATGCGTATGGTAACAAGGACCCGAGAGGGCGAAGTTAAAGGAGAAAGATCTAATTAAAACTAATGAACATCGTTGTCTGGTCTCCTGCCTGGAAGCTCCGAACGGACGACGGCTCAAGAACAGTCCCATGCAGAGGACATCAGACTCGCAATCTGTTATTAGAGAGTGAATGAAGTGTATTTTTATGCTCTCCATTCCTTATTTGTGCTGAGAGAGTGAGTGTGAACCTTAAAAGCAGGCTTTTGTTTTACAGGTTGAGGAGAATGAACAACACTCAAAATAAAGGTTTTTGCTGCTTGTTCAAATGACATTTAAAATGAGCTTAAACAACACTGGAGATTTTTTGGGAAACTTGTTTAATCTACTTAAATTAGTTACGTAATGAATTTGTGTTGGGACAACATTAATTAATTGTGTTGGACCCTGCTTTTTTCACAGTTAAATACAAGTCTGGTTTTAGGAATTATAGTAGAATTTTAATCCCTCATTAGTTGCTTGATAATGTCAGATCGGCATAAAGAATTTGATTTAATTTAATTTAATTTAATTTAATTTAATTTAATTTAATTTAATTTAATTTAATTTAATTTAATTTAATTTAATTTAATTTTATTTTATTTCATTTCATTTCATTTCATTTCTTTATTCCTGTGATTGAAAGTTGCATTTGCAGCATCATTAATCCAGTCTTGAAACTGAGAAGAAAGTCTGGTTCTAAGTATTATAATATGGAGCCAGATCAGTCTCAAAAATAATACATTTACAAATTATAATTCATATATCCACAACACAATTAAATTTTAAAAACGCAATTCATAAATACACAAATCCAATTTGTAAGTTCAAAACATGATTTATAAATACACAAATTATTCATTCATTAGTTTTCTTTTTGGCTTAGTCCCTTTATTAATCCGGGGTTGCCAAAGTGGAATGAACCGCCAACATAGCCAGCATATGTTTTATGCAGCGGATGCCCTTCCAGCTACAACCTATCTCTGGGAAACATCCATACACACTCATATACTACACTATACGAACAATTTAGCCTACCCAATTCACCTATACCACACGTCTTTCGACTGTGGGGGAAACCAGAGCACCCTTAGGAAACCCACGCGAACGCAGGGAGAACATGCAAACTCCACACAGAAATGGCAACTGATCCAGCCAAGGCTCGAAACCACCAACCCTCTTGCTGTGAGGCGACAGCACTACCTACTGCGCCACTGCGTCACCAAATACACAAATCCAATTTCTAAATTCAAAACACGATTCAAAAACACACAAATCCAATTCATTTGGTTAAAATATTTATGATTTTTACTTATGAATTCATGAATTGTGTTTTGAAATCTACTAATTGGATTTTGTAAATGTGAATCGTGCTGTGCGATTATGAATTATATTTAGTAAAGGTTTTATTTTTGAAACTGATTTTTATTTTTGGTCTGGCTCTATAATGTTTTTTTTTTCCCCTCAATAGTTGATTGATAATGTATTTAAAATCTATATACAATATTTTAATTCTGAGTTAGCTCGGACATGAAGACCCATTGTTATATGTAATAAACATATTTATAAATTGATATAAACTGTAATAATGCAAAATATTTTAAATATATTTTTACATTTACATTAAAATAATTTATTTTTATGTAATTTATATTTTAAATAAATATTTTAATTTAATTTATATCTTAATATATGTTACAATCTAGATTTCAATTGATTTAATTTAATTTAATAATATTTTAATTCTAGGTCAGGCAATATGGAAATTCCTAAAAAATGTTTGCTAATGAGCTTCCCATTATTATTATTATTATTATTTTTAATTATTATTATTATTATTATAATGAGAACTGCTGAAATTGAGTTACCATTACAATATGCGTGCAATTTAGCCTCTCTGTAATGAATATGATGATAGATTCCTTCCATAAAACAATTACAGGGTTCAATATAGTAGCAAAGGGTCAGATAATTTGGATTATTACATTATTAAACATTCTTGAAGAACATTCTGGCAAGGAAAAGATTGTGCTGACACAAAAGAATAAAAGCAATTTAAAAAATATTCTACCAAAATTTTTTTGTTATCAAACGGCAAACGACATACACACACTTGTGAGCACTGATATTATAAGATAAAACCAGCCAGCACTGGTTATTCAGGTTGATCGGACAGCTCCAAATGAGTTATACTCCA